GGCGGCGGCTCCGCGGCCGCGGCGCTCGGACGTGCCGAGGCGCGCAGCGTGCGCGCCGCCTCCGCCGCCCCAGCAAGGCGCGGGGGCTCCCGGGGCCACAGCGCGACCAAAGCACAAACACGGCGTGCTCTTCGAAAATACATAAATTTCAAAAAATTATATATAAAGCCGTTCTTCTTCTCGAGGCCGTTCTCACTCCGCCAACGCGCCCTGCCTCCAAGCGCTGCTCAGCACCGGGATACGGGACAAAGAGCCCCGCGCTCCCTGGCCCGCTGCCGCGGGCAGCCTCGGCCCTCGGGGCCGCCGGATCATTCATAAAACGAGCCCGCAAGCAGCCCCCGCTGCCGCGCTCCGCGGCCATCGGCGCGCCCGGGCTCTCCGCGAATAAAAGAAGTTCGGGAAGTGTCCGTGTCCCTGCCCCTCCGCGCCACGACGGGCTCCGATGCTGCCTGGAAAATGTTGATCTCCTCCTCCCCAGAATCTATTTTTTCCGGCCGCGGCCGGCGCACAGAGATTCACCCGCGCACACAGCACGTTCCCCGCTGGAGCCCCTCCAAGGCGGCCGCAGTAAACGTGCCAAAAGGCTCTCGAACTGTCCCCTTCCTCTTCAAAAGAAAAAAAAAAAAAAAAAAAAGGAAGATGAAAAAAAAGATGAAAAAGGAAATAGAAGTCCCAAGTATCCATTAAAAAACAAGAGAGAGGAAAAAAAAAAAGGAAGAAAGAAAAAAGAGGCTTTAGGGTAGGTTTAAGCTGTATTTACACTGACTGACTCATCCAATTAAAATTCAGGAGCAGTTTCCTGCAGGATGAAGCTCCCACACACTAGTTTCCATGTGAAATATCCACGGGCAGAGCCTATGGCCAGGGGCGGCCTGTCGGGATAGCGGCTCCGCGACGCCCCGCGGCCCCGCCGCTACCTGCGCGCGTCCCCCCGGCGCGCTGCGCACCCGCGCCCGCTGCGCGCGTCCCCCCGGCGCGCTGCGCACCCGCGCACTTACTCGTTAGTCGCCGCCGCCTCCTCGCTCATTTTCCCGTCACGGCGCTGGGGCGGGCGGGCGCAGCGGCAGCGCGGCGGCCCCGGCGCGGCGAGAACTCACCAGAAACTTCACCATGGTGGGGCCCCGCCGCGCGGCAGCGGCGCGGAGCGGCCGCG